TGTTGGGGTTTTTGTAGGACACATTACAGCCCCGCGCGTTCAATATTCTATTTGATATAGATCTATCTATTGTTGTCTGTAATTTTGATGCCTCGTTCATCATCACGAAAAACTTAATATTACAGCTGGAAATTAAGCTACTTTCGGTATGATAGGAAAATACACACACACACACAAGAAGTATTTTATGTCGCTCTTAATACTTGTTTTTCTTTAGGAAAAATAATCTCTTTACTAAAAGATTAAAAAAAAAATCACTGTTTTAATAGAGAAAACTAGTTTATTGCTGTGTTTTCATTGCGGATCATATCTGAATTTGAATTTCTTGCATAGTTAAAAAATAATATATAAATTATTAGAAATTTTTTGATATTATTATTAAATTTAGTATAACTGTTTAAGCGTGAAAAATTAACCCAACTCTTTTATTAATATTTATATATGATTCAAATTATAAATTCTATTATATATAATCAACTCAATACCAAATAATAAAATTTAATTAAAAAATCTCATATTAAATAATAAAATTGCTAAAAAAATAAAAATAAATAAAACTCATTATAATGTTTCAAACTTGAGAAATTCAAACCAAGATTTTTGATTAATAAATAGCTAATCTTTCTTACTAAGATTCATCTAAATTGAATTAATATTTTTATTATATAATAAAAATATAAAAATTAAAAATTTTACAAGAACCTCACACATGAAAATTGAAAAACCAAAAACAAAAGTGTTCCTATAAAAGACTCCAATTGTACTGGCTAGGCTAAGCCCAAGAAAGGTTCACGCGCCTGGCCCATGTATTTTCATTCATCTTTTTTTGTTAAAAAGAAAGCACAACACGTGGTTCGCGGTTGATTAAAAGGATATACGACGTCCAGAGAGTCCAGACTCAAAACCGTGATCTCTGTTATGGACAACGCGCGCTAACGACTTGCGCCACAACGTCAAACAGTGTAACCCTGCCAATCTAAAAAATATATTAACCTGATTTAAACAGTGTAACCTTCGATCCAGTTGTTTTGATAATTAATATGAATTTTTGTTATTACTCTCTTGAGATGAAACATTTACTAAAAACTTGGTCTGCTAAAAGCAAATAACAGCAATCATCAAATGATATAAAAGAAGAACCCATGATTAGTTCATCCACCTAGAGTGGAAAATTGGATCTGGAGGAGGAGGAGGCTAAATCCAAAATCCGATCTACAGATTCACTACCTCCACTTTTATTTCTTCTTCTTCTTCCGCCATTTTTATTTTTTTCCGGCGAGAATTTCTTCCTTTTTGACAAACCATCAATCCCGTTCCTTCCCTGTATAAAGAGGGCCACTAGAAAGTATAAATGTAAAATGACCTGACAGCCCCTCACTCGATGACATGGCACATTCCCATTAGTCAAGATTAAAATCCAAAAATAAACTCCAAGTACCCTTTCATTAACTGGAAAGAGGAGGAAAGATGGCGCGAAAGATTTCCATAGTTAGTTAGAAATCCCTGAACTATAGCAGAGCCTTGTATCATCAGATGATTCCCGTTCTCCTTCTTTCTTGCTTCCTTAATTTCCTACCTACAAACCTCAAGAAAAAGAAGAGGGGGATTCATCTCTCAGAACAACAGCAATTTAGGCCGTTCATTTTCAAATCAAATCTCAGGTACGGAACATTCTTTAAATCACTGCAAATGATTTTTCTTTGATTTTTCGTTTTGTTTTCGTTTGGTTATTTTAGTATAGATATAGAGAGAAGCAAATTAATTAATGAATAATTAGCTGCGGATGATTCGTAAAAGTAAGCTCTTATTCTTGTTTTGTTGAATAGCCAGAGCTGCTTCTTGCATGTTGTTTCGTTTAAGAGGATTAAGGAAATGAGATATAAAGGAATTTTATTTAGCGTTTGAGTTGTTATGATCGAAGTTGTGGCACAAAAGACGTCAAACAGAATACGATTGGCTTTTAATCTGCGTGGAAATTATCGGAATTTTAAAGATGTTATATTTGGTGGTTGGCAGTTTAGTTTCATAGTGTTTGTGAATTAGCATACATGTCAAGGAGATTGCAAGAAAATAGTTTTTTTTTTATTATTAAAACAAAAGGAAAAGAAGAGAGGAGGAAGAGAGAGATTACTAGTAGAGGTGCACTTTACCATATCTAAACTTGAATCGTACTTGTTTATGTATTAATTATCCAATCCCCTCTCCCTCTCCCTCTCCCTCTCCCTTGAATTTGATTTTATTTTGTTATATATGGGTTCTTAATTTCTTAAACTGAGTATCACAGCGAATTAAATCTTTCCATTTTTTTTAATTAGTTGTTGATATTACCCGGCTAATTGTATCCTGTACAGTTACATGTGTATAGGTCTCTCTGTGAAAGAAATTGTTTTCATTTCATCAAGCAAGCTCTTAGCTGTGTATGTGTGGTAAATTGTGAGATTGAGATACCTTCAATTTTGTCACATTTTCATACTCAAAAACTTTATCCTGCAGGGTTCCTAGAGTAATAGAGTACTAAAAACTAAGCTGGATCAGATTAATGTTTTTCAGTTATGGACTTGGAACATGGAAGCGGAAGCAGCAAGCAATCGGAATCATATCCAGAGGTTAGTGATGGGAGCGGAACCAGGGATCATGAAGATACATATCCAAAGCTTGGTGTTTGGGTTGGGAGTGGTGACAAGCTTCAGAGAGACCCAGAGAAAATTGATGGGACCGAAAGCAGTAAAAATTCAGAATCAAATCCTGAGTTTATTAATGGATGTGTTAGTAGCAAACAAAGAGAGTTAAAACTGGAATTTACTGCTACAGAAGGGGATCTTTACATTCCATTTGTAAAGTCAGGTCCTTCCTCTTCCTCGCCTTCCTCTGCTTCATCCCTTAGTTCATCTAGCTCATCATTGTATGATCTATTTGATGTGATCGCAAAAGAAAGCGCTGACCCTGGAGCATGCACTGATTTTGATTCACCCAACAAAGCTCACGAGATTACTCAACCAGCATCAGAAGATCATGAGAATGATACTTCCATTGAAAATTCTCACAAATCAAAAGAAAGTGAGCGTGGCTCTTCAGATCGCACGCTAACATTCCCAGTTTCTGAGGCCGCTCACGAATCCCTGGTGCACAACATGCCGCCAACACAATCCCCTCCTCTCCAAGTCATGGAACGACCAGAAGGATATGATCCTTCTAGGATTCCATCATCCATCTTTGAAAGAAATAAAGGTCCAGCACCAATGGATTGGAGCGTTGCTTCCAATGAATCATTGTTTAGCATTCACGTAGGAAACAATAGTTTCTCCAGAGACCATGTTTTATTGTTGGGCGATCTGGGATTGTCTGGAGACATTAAACAGTCAGGTGAATTGATCATGTTCAGCCCACCCGCTACAAAAGCAATGGTGGCCACTGATAATCAGTCTTCAGATCCTGCCTTGGAAACCTACACAGAGAAGGGTGGAGCAAATGGAATATCAGATAATACTATCAAGGATCCCGCAGAATATCAAAATAAGGAAAATAAACCAAACCAAGCTGTATCCTGGAAGTCTCCTAGAACTTCCAACCTTTCATATGAAAGTGGAGACAGTGTCGAGTCCTTTTCTTTTCCAATGTAAGCTGCTCCCATTCTCTATATGCAAACACTTGAATACTAGAATTCATGCGCGCTCAACTTTTACGTATTACTTCTATTGGGCATAAAGACTGGTGGACTCTCGTTATTCATGCATAATATACATATCCATACCATATCTTTGTTTACATTCACATTGCACACAGTGAATACATGGATGCTTGTATGTTTGCGACTTCTTGTGTGAATTCAGTCCAGACAGAAATGCCTCTGGACTTGGCATGCTTGTATTTCATGCATGTAAACAAGATGTCTAGATTTACTCTGCAATTATATTCACGTGTGTGCCTAATTAATTAGGACTCCGCAAGCCTAATGCTTTGTCAATGAGGAATATACCTTTGTGTTGCAGAAGAAAGAAGAAATATGCATGGCCATTTTGCTACTTTTCTAGTTGTAGCTGGGCGCTCTGCTACTGTAAACGGCCAAGGTGCTACTTTAGGTGGCCAAGCTGCTCGTGTTCTTATTGTAGCTGGGCGTTCTGCTATTATTGGAACTGTGGCCGAAAGGGATGGTGTTGTCATAAATATTCTGCGTATGCTCCTCTCTCTCATTGTCAATCGATAACAATCAAGAAAATAGTAAATTCTGTCTTGTTAATTTTTTCCAACCGCCATGATTAATACCAATTACGTCACTTATGTTCATATATGATTCACAACTATTGCCATTTCATCTACATTATAAAACAAGTTTTATAATAACACTTTGTAATCTCATGATCTATATTTCTTGGGGTTTTGCAGTTTGGCAGATGGGATGAGAAATGGTTCCCTGAAAGCAGGTATTGAGCAGCAGCGGCAGCATCTGGAGTCACCGTCTGCCCCAGTGAGTCAAGAATCGGCTTCCTGTCATTGGTGTCATTGCTTTTCATGTTGTTCACGGGGTTGTTCTTTCAATTGCTGTTGCTCCTGTCGAAAAATCAAGTGTTGCTGTTAGAACTGGCTCCTTACTCATATGATGGAAGAGTGCATCTCAGCTCCTAAGGCGCTTCCTGTTTAAAATGCAAGCCTGAGCTGTCCTTAATTAAGGTTCTGGTGATTAAATTAAAATTGGGACATTGACGGTGGTTGCTACTTAATCATCACGAGGCCTCTTGAAAATGCAATTGTTATCCATGTGCATTGTTCTTGGCGCGACTACGAGGAAACTTGTTCTTTTCAAGACAGGAAAAAAGGAAGGCGCTGAGGAACGGTAAGGAGAACCTCTAATCCTTTGCCTGTATGATGTTTCCTCCTGGAATTTCAGGATGATTCCTCCTTGAATCGGAGCTAGTTTATAACTGATTCTATCTTTTTTGCGTCTATATTGCTGTAAATTAACCTTTAATTTAATAGCCCTCTAGTTGTATTAGACGACTGTTTTCAAGCATATGCATGGTGTGATTGTGATGATATTACTCTATCTGTACATGAAGTGATGAATGAAATTTTAAATGGTGGTGACTGCATGCATCGGAGCATGGTAGGAAATATATGAAATATCTACAATTCAGGGGGGGTCCTTAAATAAGTGTATTATCATAGAGAGAGGGCGGGAACATAAGATCGCTTATGAAAGTCTTCTTCTTCTTCTTCAGTTTCATGCTTTTCATCATTTGTTTTTCTTTGATGCCCAGCATGATAGCGCATGTAGATACGACTGATCTTCTTTCCAATTGGTTGAATCATAATGGTAGTTTTGGGGATAGATGCTTTCATAGAGGTGGGTATGGTTATGAATTTATTGGGGAAAATAGGTACAGCTTGAGTAATCATTTACATAATACAGGTATCGAGTCTTTCTTACAAAAATAACCAGGTCTTATGTATCGATGCCCTTGTCCAGAACCAACAAGAGATGTTGGATGAATGTATAGAAATTTGTAGAATGATATTAAAGGTTCATCCACGTATTAATATAAATGTTTTCGATGTATAGGATGCTCTACTTGAATTCATGCCTCGTAAAGAAATATCTCGCCAGGAGCTTGGGCCATCACTACTGTTTTTGTCAGCGGAACAATTCTTTCGTCCTCCAAATACAATGAAATTGGAAACATTTATTCAATAATTGTACAATACTGTCTTTAATATCTATTAGCTTTTTTATTTTTCCAAGTTATGACAATAATGTGGCTCTGTAGCTCTATTCTTCGCCATGTTCTGTCGTATCATACGTCGAGAATGCACAAACCAACGCATATTTTTAACAATGTTAACTAGTTTGGATTCTTGCTGGCATTGCATTGAAGATTCTCGCTCATCCTCCTCAATAGATTTTATATTTGGTTTAACATATGATAATATTATTTAAAAATATGCATGTTGGAAATGGAGTTTTA